TGGGCAAAGTTCTTGCCGTGTTTCAACATTGGAGAGACCAAACCAGTTTACAAACGGGACGACCACAATTTTTCCTATGTAGCAAGCTCTGATGTCAATAGAGTTATTTTAATAGTGTGGCAAACAACCTCCCATGTATTATTTCTATACTCACCTTCCATGTATTATCTCTATACTCACCTCCCATGTATTTCTATGCCCACAGTTGGTGTTGTTGTATAGTAGAAAACTCCAATATCTATAAATTTCATATTATAGAGAGTATCCCATAAAAGACTTAAACCTAACCAAACTCTTATTTTATTTTAAGTACAGTTGATGCACAATGGCTTTGAATACTCTTTACATGGCTTTATTAAGAAGTCTTACAGTACAGCATCAAGTTGATTATCACCATTGTTCAAAAGGCGTTGTGTCTGCCATTAATTTTTCTTGATTCTTCAGAAAAGGTTATGAGGCCCATTATTACTTTGTAATAAAGATTTTGATTATATTTCCCAATATGTTGTATTCTCTACATGGTCACAGAGGATGTGGCCTTCCGTAAATCCTATCTGTAGTATTGGTTATGTGTGAACTAACATTTCTACATGTTTATATTTTTAAGTATACATTCTCTCTAATTTGTTTACAGACACTATTTTTTTAATCTTAAGACAATGGCATCTTCTTATCTTGCAATGGAAAGTTACTGATGGCTTGCACCATTTAATGGAATAAATATCAATAATATCAGAATGCTGTGCATGTTGCCTTTCTTGATAAATCAACAAGAGCTAACCATATATGAATTTCAGGCTGTTTATTATGTCATTTGGCCAATATTTTGGAATAAATAAAAATTATATTTTTCTGATAAATGGTACAAGAGAGCTGTCAGCAACTTTTATTTGCATGATCTGGAGATGTCTAATTTATTCACCTGATCCCTGCACAATTTCACTTTTGTGCCATTTCACGATTATTTCTCTGTTAATTACTTCTATATAATTTTAGTGATCAGTTGTATGAATGAGTGTGTTGTTCCATCTAGGTCAAAGCGGACTACCAGCCCGAGATCCAGACATTCATCCTCCAGTACGTGGGGAAGCCGGACTTCTCCCTCACCATCCACTTGCTCAGTGTGAGTTCCATTTGGTTGCTTCTCTTAGAAATAGAGCTGTTGTCTCAAAACCACACACAAGAGTTTTTATATGATCACACAAACGTTTATCACACTGCATATTTAAGAGAATAAGCATTGAGAAGAAATTGTTAATAAATTATTGATTAAATAACCTGTAATGAGGTAAATTTGTAATATAGATAACAAGACCAAATACAAATAAATAAATTATGTGACCATTATTCTTATCTATAATACATATCGTTCATTACTTTGATATACTTCAATGGACCTAGAAAGTTATTTCTTGTCAAGAGCTGAAGAAAATTAATTCAAAAGTGAATATCAAGGATGTTGCCAAGCCATCACTGCCATCAGGATTCAATTTTAAAGAGTTCAGGATCTGAAGCCTTCCTTTGTTGAGGTTCACATATAATTTACTTATTTAGATTTGTTCTTTCCTGAGATGTGGAGAGTAATGGCTCTCCTGGTTGATTTGTCTGTGTGTGTAGGGGGAGGATGCTGAAGACCCAGATGCTGACATTCCTCAGGAGCGGATCCTGGATCTGCTTTATGAAGCCTTCCAGACCTTGGATGCTGAACTCACCTTTACCTATACCTCAGACTTCCCTCCTTACAAGAAAGCTGGGCCCATCCTAGAAAATGGATCGGTTCGTATTCCTACTGAACTGCAAGCTCTTGATAGAACCAGCTTGGCTGTGTCACAGGCTGGGACTCCAATTCGAACTCCTCCCCCCATCCACAAACTGCTGGTCAAGGTGATCAAAGCTTACACCCATGCTGAGATTAAAGGTGGGTCAAACTTTCCTCTATTATCAGACATTTTATAATGGTGTCTTCTTCACTGAGCCTTTATAGAGAATATCATTTATTGTCTTGATGTTTTAACGACCCACTGTTCCTTTTTACCATTTTTGAAAAGTGGGTCGTCAGAACATTAGGATAATAAACTTATAAAAAAAGGATCGATGAGTCTCCAACTAGAATTGATCCTTTATTGCCACACACGGAAGGGATTAGTTGATTCAATGCTAGGTTGGTTCTCAAAATTGGATGTGGTCACTAATCCTTGCTTGAGATTCCTTATAATCAAAACCAGACATTCTCACAACCCTATCAAATATCTTTCTATATAAATCTCATACACTTCTGCACCTAAGTTTTTTACCTTTCCATCTAGAGGAAATAGCTCCTGATGGTAGAGGACTTCCCTAGAACCAAGAAGGCTTTGAAATATTTGTTTCTTATCTGATGGAAAAACATATTATCAAGCTTTCTTCAATGTGTCAATCTTTCTCAGAACACATCACATGTTTTAAAAAACATTTAACCTAGGTATTATTGTTAACTTATGTTGAGAAATATTTTAAAATAGTTGGAAATTTTTGATAATTTTTAAGAATATTTATATATTTGAATCCCTGCTCTAAATGTACTAATCCTCATAATATTAAAGTAAGTGTTGTATAAAAAAAAGGGAAACATCTTGCAAATTATTTTAAAAAAAAACGTTTATAATATTTAGTGGAACCTCCTTATTATTTCCTATTTTATAATGGAAACTTGGTTGTAACATTCTAATTTTAAAGTCCAAATTGTTTTAACCTTGGTCATAACAAATAAATTGACTGTATTTTGCAAGGATCTAAATTTAGTGCTATTTACTTTCAAAGCTATCACAAGTATTTGAATATGATGACAGATTTTGGTGAAACCCCAGGGAGGGAGATTAGGACTCTATTGCATAGGCCTATTGTGGGCCAGATCTGCTGCTGCTATTGGGCCATTCAGCCTTGAGATTTTTTACCCATTCACTTTTTATATGTCATTTGGCCATTCTATCAAATTGCTATAATATCCTTTCATCACATAACTTGAGCAATAATATTTGAGGTATTTCTTTTCTCCCCCCTCCCAATTTAAATAGTAAAATTGAATCTTTTTCTCTAATATAAGCCTTGAAATATATTTGTTTTGTTCTTATATTCTTAACACATAAATGATTATGATATCTCACACATCAAACTAGTGGAAATAGAAAATGCCTCACTCAGATGCAATATTATTATGAAACTTTTGATATGAAAATGTAGGGACCAAAAATGAAAATGTGCCTGCTCTTAACTATTTTTTTTTAAAACGATCTGCATTATTCAAAAACCTAATCATTTGTTACACACCACAAGAAGTTAACCAAATTAAAGGTTTTTACCTTCAACTACTTCTAAATGTAACATGAGTATTTCCGGTAGTGAATATTTGGGTTAGACCCCCACTCCAACGTAATGCTTTTAGACCTTTCAAATCACTTTTTGAAAAATTAGATTAATTTTATTTAGCTTATACAGGACATTTTATTTTGATTCAGTGTTTAGTTTGTATAACTTCCTTATCCCTCACCAGTTTTCTATCTCCAGTCCAGTGTATTGAATAATCATCTGGCAAAGGAAGAGCCTCTCTTTATCCTCTCAGGTGCCAAGTTGGCACCTCATTCATCTGTCCTCCTCGGTAATTACAGGGCAATGAACCACCTCTTCGTTTATATTTTAAAGCTGCTATTATTGGTCACTTTTCTATATATTCACACTTCAATGATGCATCCAGGGCTAAGTTTCTTGTCTATATTCACAATTCATTTCTACATACTTTTATAGAGTTCCTGGACAATGTAGGCTGTACATAAGCAAACTTATAGGAATTGAAGCCATACACTGTAGAACCTTTATGAGAGGACACTTTTACTAGAGGACACCTCTCTAAAAAGGATAGTTTTCATCCACAAAATGTCCATTTTTTACTACTTAACAGCTCTCTGGCTAGTGTATTTGGGATAGGTACCACCACCACAATGTTGTGTGGACATCTCTTGGTTTCATGTTCAAGAATGACCTATGAGTCCAAGGGATTAAAGCCTGGAGAGTTACATGGTCAATTGTTTGGTGTGGTGACTTTTCAATTTTTATTTTGAGAACCAAAGCATGGCACTTTCTTCTGGATAATTCACTTTGTTGAGGAGAAATTTACTCCAGAGTAGCTGTTGTATGTTTGCATGCGCTGACAAAACTGGCTTTTTCATGATGTAATAAGACTTGTAAGTTTTCATGAACCACATTCTGGATTGTTCCTGCAGACACTTGGAGATATCTGGGTAACTTGATGGTTCCAAAACTCTTGTTGACTATCTCTTGCACTTGCTGCATGAACTGTGGTGGCCTCTCCCATGGTGTTGGGGCATCTTTTTGTGCTTTGCCACAAGTAAAGTCTCCTTGCCAATCGCCTCCTTCTGCACTTGTTGGAAAAATGTTCTGCCGACCACCAGAAATCTTGATATTTCCATATTAGTGTATTTTGTGCAAATCGCAATGATGATCGCATGCTGTTTAAACTCTTGTGTTTTGCAATGGTGTTTGCCATAGGTTACTCACAGACAAATGATCTGAGTTATGGGCATGCAAACAAGTTAGTTGCCTCAATGCTCTCTAGAAAATCTCCCTAAAACTCTTTTATAAGAAAAGAAATGCCGCCATGGAGTTCATCCAACTTATCAGCAACACCAGATTTAGCTTATCTCCCTAGGAGGAATTTATAACTCATTTGAGGCCTTAAGTAGGCTCTTAGAGGAGTGGGAGCTGTGGATTTAAATAGAGTTTGAGGGGAATACTTGGATAGTTTCACATGGCTAAAATAGAAGCTAATTATACTTCCTTCTGGTTTCTTCACACTTGAAAACACAAGGTAATAACACCAAATCCAAATTAATTTGGTCTCATTATCTTGTGTTTATAACCTACTAGCCGAATGACTCGGGCAACGCCCGTGTTTTACCCGATTGAATGTTTTGATTCAAATACTATTTATTACAATTATAAATTGTGGTCATGTGGCCTAGTGGTCATGGCATCTGCCCGGTAAGCGGAAGGTCGTGGGTTCGATTCCCATCTCTTAACACTTTTTTTATTTTATCCATTCTGACCAAAATCTATCCGTGAACTTCACACAGACAGAATAAGGCAATTATATAAGTAGATAATCCAAATTATGCCTTATCATCAACACTTGAAGTTTCATGTTTGCCCTTCTACAGTTCAACAATCCAATAAGGATATGAGATACTTGGTACCTAATATTTTACCTTATATATATATATCCCCATGATTGTCATTTATAATGATATAGCTTCGCATTGTGAAAATCCTCGAGCACTCATAATAGAGTTGTCCCTCTATTGATAAGAAATGGAGTGATATGGGAAGTTCTGGAGGGTGAAATGAATGGAAAGATTACTGTAGGAAGAGGAACTGTTGGACTAGATGGGAAGGAGATACTTTGAAGGGGGAAGATAGAGAAGTATTATGTGTTCTACTGGAGTCCAGGACCTCTGATGAGATAAACTGAAGGCCCATTTTTGTATACTCTAGTAGTCAGTACAAGTGTATCTACAATACATGTAATTCAGTAGTGTAGTTACATTTCTATCTGCACTCAGAATAATAATTCAATATTTTTTTTTAGCTGCAAGTTTAAACTAAGCTTTACATTTTATATAATGGAAAGGTAAATTGCTCTAAAAAGTATAACACCTCTTTCCGGAGGGAATATTGTCCCTTTGTAAAAAGTCACATGCCGGTTGGGAGTATGTTGAAAAATAATATTGCGTGATACATCAACTGTTTTTAAATTTCATTTTTTTCTGACATTCCTTCACTCTCTACCACCTTCCTCAGGAAAACATTTCCCCTGAGAAGACAGTAAGTACCTGAGATTTTGGGAACTAAAGAAATTTAAGAACGATTGATGTTTTATTATTGTCCTTTTGCTGGGAGCTCTGAGCACACTGAGAGCCAGCCAGAGCAACATTTCCATAGAACCACAGCTCAGTGAGATTCTATATAAGTACAGCCCATCCATATATGTAAGGTAAACTTGACTTAAGAGAGCACTCTCAAGAGTCAGAGATGGATGGTACAGATACTAGGTGACACTCCATATAGAATTTTTTTTTTTGTTTAAGACACAACTTACTGCCTTTTAAACCTCGTTATATCACCATTGATTGTGACCAAGATCTTATATTGTTTTAATCACATGTCAGGGTTATAATACAGTTGAAACTTCAAACTAGGGAATTTATGTTGTTGTTGTATCTTATCCCCTTGTGTAAAGATTACACGAATTCCATGAGTTCATTTTTTTATTTTATTTTATTTAACAGTTGGGAGAGACACGCCATATCCACAATTTGGATAATTGCGTGTATATTTTAAATTATATACAATTAATACAATTGAACATTGGAAATCATTAAAATTAAACGTTCAATGTCAAATTTTACATATAGCAATTATAAGTAGTAGCTTGAAATATGTACAGTCAACGCTTTCGCCTCAAAATATACATCCTGCAGAATCTATTAAACTTGATGTATTGGTCTTTATTGCAAGCAGCTTGTTTTGTATTAGTCAGGTAAAGTTGGTTTTCTTCCCTTAGATCAGAAGTTAGTGGACAGTCTATCAGAAGATGTTCAGGGGTTTGTTGTTCGTTTCCACAAGTGCATGCAGGTGAACCAATTTTGCCAATTCGAAACAAATATGTGTTGAAGTCACCATGTCCAGTAAAAAATTGAACGTTATAGAAGTTGGGTTGAACATAGTTAGGAATTCTTGAAGTATCAAAGAATCCCTTGAAATTATCATTGGCACCTCCATAGTATTCCTCAAATTTCTGGTTTATAAAATTAGATATCATTTTTCTTTTAGTTGGATCTGATTTTTTGTATCCAATATTCATTTTTAGTAAATTTGTTTCAATAAAATCCGTGAGCTTTGGAGTTCTAGCAACAATATGAGTACAGTTTGAAGATGTTGAATTATAAACCTGTGTACTGTGCTTCAAAATTTTGTACTGCAGAGAGTTTAATTTATCTTTGACTTTTTTGGGTATAAAGTTGTACCAGATCGTGGAACCATAAGTTAGTGAACTTCGAAACAGTGTCTTATAGAGTTCTATTCTTCTTTTACTGTCCAGTCCCCATGCTTTCCCGGTTAATCCAATTAGGTATCCACTAGCTCTGTTTGTCTTAGTAATAATCTCATCAATATGGGGCACAAAATCCAATTTGTTTTTATTTCTATGATTTTTAAAAGTTATTCCCATAATCTTCAGTTTTTCTACCCGATTGGCAGTGATAGTGTTAGGAATTTTTGCAGCTATTTTGCTATTAAACAAGTATAAGATTTTCGTTTTCTCTTCAGATACGGTCAACTTATTGTTCCCACACCAGTCTAATATTCTCCCCATGACCTTTCCTGTTGTATTCCGAAGTTCTGTCAAGTTGTTTCCCCAACATATCACAGTTAAATCATCCGCATAAGCAATGATTTCACTGTTTGATTCTGAATAGTTATTCAATAAATCGTTTAGAATAATATTCCATATTGTAGGGGATATAGGCCCACCCTGTGGACATCCCTTGCTTAATTTTTTGTGGGTTTCATTTGATGAGTATCTAAATCTCACTCTTCTATTATTAAGAAAAGACTGCAGTAGTTTTATTATTGAAGCTTGAACGTTGTCCTCATCTAGTCTTTTCAGCACCATCGGCCACCATGCATTGTCGAACGCTCCACTTATATCAACTGCGATTATAGCTGTATATTCTTTGTTTTTATGTTCTAGAGCTATTTTGACAATTTCATTTAATGCAGAGATAGTAGATCTTGATCTTCTAAATCCATGTTGACGATTGTTAAGCAGATTCGAGTCTTCATAAAATTTTATTAGTTTGTTGTTAATTATTTTTTCAAATATTTTGGAAATGTTTGAGTTGAGACAAATGGGTCTGTAGCTTTTATAAATTTTCATGTCTGTTTTACCTGGTTTGGGAATAATTATCACCTCAGATTTTTTCCATTCATTCGGATAATAATTTAAATCTAAGCATTTTTGAAAAAGTTTCACCAGTATTGGAACTATTAGTTGTTTAGTGTGTTTTATCATATTGTTAGAAATATTATCAATTCCAGGCGTTTTCTTTGAGTTTAGCTCATCAATTATTCCATTTACTTCATTGGGCGTTATTATTATATTTTCTTTATTATGAAATCCTAAAGTATAGTTCCTTATGTTTTTGTGGAAGGTTGTGTCTTCATTATCTCTATCATCGGGGAAAAGGTTGTTCAAAAGTTCTACTGTCTTCTGGAATCGTTCTTCATCTTTATTCACTTCTAAGATTTCCAAAATGCCCTTTCGGTTAGAACCGTTTTTAATATTTTTGTATACCCTGTATAAATTTCCATATGGGTTTTTTGATTTGATGTCCTCTAAGAAAAACCTCCAAGACATTCTTTTAGCCTTATTTATTTCCCTGACGTATTTGTTTCTTGCACTTTTATACTGTTGTTGAATATGGATAGAGGGATTTTTCGCCCGATAATAGGAGTTACGGAGGTATTTACAATAGCTCTCAAGGCGTGTCAAGTCAGCGTTCCACCATCTGTTTATGTTGTTTTTTATTTGTTTGTTTTTTCTTAGTTTAAGAGTATTATACGCTGCTTCAATGAGCGTGTTCGAAAGTTCTTTTACCGCGCTATCGACATCTTTCCTTGTATTTGCTGTATCTAAAAAGGTTTCAATATTATTTTGATCTATTTTAATGAAATTCTGGCCAAAATTTGACCAGTTCGCCTTTTCTTCACTGAATTTCCATGTGGAATAATTAGTAGCTGTGGTGAAATTGTCAGTTATATGTACTTCATAGATTATTGCTACATGATCAGAGATCTGCGATATTTGTTCTGTGTGCCAGTCTCTGATAGCTGCTATTGCTTGTAAGTTCATGCTCCTCGAGCTGTTTTATGATGAGCAGCGGCCTCTCCCAAAGGTCCTGTTTAGTGCATCTAATGCAAGCCAAAATGTGTTCTGGAGCTGCAGGTGACAAGCTACATTTTGGGCAAAGTGGGGTAGATTTTGTTATTATTTTCTATCTTCAATGGCTTGAGATGGCCTGTTCTAAACCATGTTAGTGTTGTTTGATGCTGTCAAAGGGAATTTATGATAACCTAATGAGAGGTTCTATTCTATCTCTAGTATTATATTACTTGGGACCAAGCTCTTTTATGTTGGTATTACCACAGTTGAAACAATTAGCTTGGGATTTTGAAATTATGGTGTTATAACCAGGTTACTGTTATAACAAGGCTGTGTACTATATAGATAACAACATATATTTTGGTTTCAGTCCAAATGTTCCTATATGAATGTATATGCACTGAATCATATAAAGGTGTCAAGTGTATGTCCACAGGAGGTCTGGTGTGTGTCCTGGAGCTGGACAGCCCCCACCAGAGGTACGAGACCACGGCCGCCAGGGAATCTCCCTTCTGGGACGAGCTGTTTTACTTGTGAGTGTGAGCCTCCTTCCCTCACCTCAACTCTATAATACCTGTGGGACTGCAGTGACATCAGCCCCTCTTCTAACTGCCTCCTGGTGTCCCTGCTCTCCTGTGGTGGAAAATCAATTGGTGAGTCCTGTTTGTCTCTCTTTCATCCCACTGCTTCATAAGTAAAAAATTGTAAATTATATATAGGAAATGCCTAGCATATTTTGGAGATTTTCTTAACTCTCTTGATTCCAGATGCCTTCTTATATATTTTTTCCTTTTCATATATTTTTCTTAATTGGTCTAAATGAACATGTTTCACTTGACCATTTACTTCTACTTGTCACACACTCTGCCACCTTTTTTTAAAAAAAGAATTATACTTCTTTATTGGTCTCTATTAAAAAATCAGGTGTGACAAAAAGTATTTGAAATGAAGTTTTTCATTCAATTTGTTTTTCAATAAAAAAAAAAAGCTTGGATGAGAGACTTGACATTTTAAACAATACTTAAGTATATTTAATGATAAAATGAAGGCTTAAAATAGGAAAGTTATTTTGTGCAATGTATCA